GCTGAACACTGCCCCTCCGATGCACACACCAACTGTGAGGTGCTTATCAACAGCAAAGGCTGTGAACACAGCACCCAGGGCAAGAAGGGACCAGCCACAGGGTCAAACCTCTTACATGTTCTCCCCACAGCAGCCACGGGCTGGCTCGGCCCCTGGGGATACACTGCGTAGATGCTGATGGTGTATTCCCGATCCTCTTGCAAGTTATCCAGCACATGAGAAGAGACATCGCCCTGCAGAACCTGTTCATAGGTCATTCCTGGTCTGTTGGCTGCAAAATCAACGAGAAGAGTGATGGTGAAACCTTCCCACTGCCTGTTTCATGGTGATGTCTTCATTACATGGTGTAAAGCATACACAGGAGTTGGTTTAGGTGTATGGTTGAAGTACCCCAACCCATATGATGTTGCTGAGAGCTATGCCTGTAGCTAAGGCTGGACATAACCATGCTGTCCCAGCCCTCCCGATCTCACAGAGGTGAGCGTGAGCCATACCGAAGGCATGAACTCATCCCACATCCACACCAAAGCAGGCATTTGAGTATGAAAAACACTCAGAGAGATCTGGACGTGACAGCACAAATGGAAACAAGGCATCCACAGCAGCATCCTCATCTTGTTCTTCTAAAGAAAGTCCTTCAAATGACTCTACTCCTCTGTCCTGGAGGAACCAAACTGTCTGGAAGAGGCTAACCTGGCCTTTTTCCAGAGTAATGCCAGGAGCTATGGGGTGCATTGCTCCTTGGACAAAACGGGACCTTTCCTGTCCTCAGATCACTGCTCCTTTTGAAGCAAACTCCAAGAAAAAATTAATAAAGTCTGAGCTTACCTCTGGGGATGTAGATCTTGTAGCCCTCCAGCTTGCCCAGTGGAGGTGTCCAAGCCACCTTCAAGCTAAAAAGTCCTTCTTCTATCACCCGGAAATTAGTGACTGGAGGCACAGGTGCTTTGGGGTAGAAAAATACGGCAAAAATTGATGTGACAGTGTGCCATGGCAAAGACTGTTGGAAAATCTTTCGTCTTCAAGGACAGAGAGACATAAATCGAGCAGCACCAGTTCTCATTATCCTCTCAGCTGAATCCTCAAAAGCAACCACACCTCTTCTACCAAGCCCTTGTCTACTTTAAAAGTGAGCCGAAAACCCCCGAGGCAGAGTCCCTGTGGGCTTCCTCTTTGACTGGGAATCTTGAATGTCTACCCACAAGGCATTTCCTCCTAAGCAGAGCAAACTCTGCAGTGGTTTCATGCAGACTGAGCAAGGAGCCATGAATCAAATGCTACTTGTGCCTATGGATGCAACTCCCACGAAGAGGAGCCCGTTTTGATCCAGCCAGCCATGGCAAACAGATTTATAGCTTCTGCCCCTGGCTTCATGTCGGGGATAATAAGAGAAGAGATCAAATGACTTTATTTCCACCCACAAAGACATTCCATCTTATTCCTGGCAAGTGTATATGAATCAACCTCATTGAGGTGCTTTATTTATTCATCCTGTCAGAGATCTTCCCTCAAGAAGACAAACAACTTCAGACGTTGCAGGGGGTGGGGGAAGAAACAAAAGACAAGGAAGAAAGGAATAATTCTTTTCGAAAACCCTTGGGCAAAGCAGACTTCATGCAAAGCAAGGAGGGAAACAGAGCTAGTTCACCCCTTAAACTCTTGAAACCCCTTAAAGAAGTGCAGAGGGACAAACTCTGCTCCATCCATCACATCTGTCCCAGCATTTTGCACTCCAGGGCTTGGCCAAGAGTGAATTTGCTCCTTGATTTTCAAGAACCTTGTCATTACAGCCAGACATGTGGCAGCAAAGGAATTTGGCATGGCAGATTGAATCCAGAGGAAGCCTAGATCGTTTCATGGGACCAAAGATCACTACTTGGGGCATTTCTTAAAGACCTTGGTTCACCTTGAGTGAAATGAAGCCCTAAGTGCATGCATAGTGCCAACACAAACCTTCCTGACCACCCACTTCTGAAACAAGGTGTTTAGAATACGCATCTCTCCATAAAACTCGTGTCTGTGTTATATTAACTGAATCCCAGACTGGATTTGTTAAATCCTGCTGGTTATTAAATCAGATGATGTGCTGCAATTCCCACTTTCAAGTGGGTTAACCACAGGGGTTACTCTGTACTCACGCACAACCCTGCACTCCAAACCACGGACTTTTGCACAGATGTTCCTCCTACCCATTCATACCTCTCAATCCCTCGGTCCTCATATGGTTTTGGGAAAGGTTTTTTCCTGTGTCCACACATACAAGGCACACACAGGGATGACTGCAGAAGAGACACTCACTTGTTTTCCCCTTGATGGCTGCTGACTCTCCAAGGGCACCTGCATAGACGGCCCTCACCGTGAAGACATACTTGGTGTTGGGTTTCAGATCAGTCACCAGCACGGTACTTTTGTCACCATCCACCACAATCTGTCACATAGAGGGACAAAGGACATCATTACACCTTCATGACAGCAAGGGAAAAGCAACCGTCTCTGTCAAATAAAGTTTCTTTTAGGATCATAAAGGGAGATTTCAATGTAACCCGAGGCCAAAAGAGGTGAAGGCAACTTCTGTGTTTTCACTATATTCTTATGAGGTTCTGAAGCAGCCAAGGATGATCATTCTCGTTAAATACAGTCTTAATAATTAATACAATTAATAAACTTTACCTTAATAATTTATGCTTTCATAGCTTTGTTCCATTATTAGAAATCAAAGCTTTTAGGCATACAGCTTCTATCCTTCGATCTTGCTCTTATATTTTGTGCAGTGTCCAAGCGGAACTGGAGGGAGCTGGCACACATGGCAGCATCCCTCACACAAAGATATGGCAAACCCAAAACTAAAACACGCAGAGATCTAAACCAAGATGAACCTTCTTGGCAGCAAGAGGAACAGGGGATGTTGCTAGGGAAGCTTGATAGGCTTATTAGGGGGTATCACAGAGGTAAGGAGAGAAAGAGTACTTCCCATTGACCTATTCTTATCAATCCCAATGGAGTTTGTGCCACATTCTTCTTTCAACCTACCTTCCCTGCTGTTGATCCCATAAACTCCATCTCATGGCAATAGCAATGACAAAATTAGCAGGAGCAATCAACACACCTGCAAATCTGATGCTCATTCCACAGACCTTCATTTCAAGGGAGCAGTTTCAGGAATTTATGGCAATGCACTGGGCTGTGACCGGGATGGCTGATGGACATGGTGCCATCCCCTAACCAGGCTGTGCCATCAGCAGCCACAGCAAAGGACCTACCCCTAACACCAGGACCTGAAACTGGTGTTCTGCAAAATTGGAAATGCAACTCTACCTGCCGCTGGTCCTCCGAAACCGGCAGCCCTGAAGGGAGCAAGGGGTGCAGATGGACACGGTACCCGGTCACCCTCCCTGTGGCTGGCATCCATGTGAGTCTTAGCGAGCTGTGGCTGTGCTCGCTGATGTACAAATCCTGGGGGCCGATGACCTTTTCAGCTGCAAAGAGAGAAAGGAAAGGCCTTTGGTTTGGACCGTGGTGGCACCAGTGCTGGACATGTGCAGGCTGTTCATTGATGGAGTCAACATATGCAATGCCTTGGCTATGGAGCGCAGCAGCAGCTGGGGTCTGTTTCCAGAGCCACGCAAGCAGGTTTTCTTTTGGCAAATTGCTTGACAGCACAAGAAAGGGAAACAAAACTGGTTCTGGCTACATTTCCCTTGTGAATCCCTGTTTAATGCATCAGCTTCTTCCTGCCCTTCTCCTTACTGCCACCAGAGAATATTTGGCCAGAATTAGCTTCAACTCTCCAAGAAACACCACAGGAAGCCCTGAAGTGCTACAGAACCACAAGGAAAGCAAAAAAAGACCCTCTAAGGACTTGGATGAGGCTTCCCCAAGCTCTGCACCTAGTTTTTAACTTACATTCTCATGACACTGTGTGCCAAGAGGGGGGCAGGAATTCATTGCCACCACCTCTAGATTTGCTGCATCATTAGCGTGTTTGGGGAGAGATCTAGATGGTTTTGGAAGTCACTTTGGCTGCTCCTAGCATCTTCTGCAAGGAATAAGTTCTTCCTGAGACCCTGAGCTGTGCTGCTGGAGTTCCCCATGAGGGGTCCATCATGACAGCCCCCAAGGGGCAGAAATGCTGCCACAGCCCATTACTGCTCCTTTTGTTTGAACCAGCAGCAAGACTTCCAGGATCCAGTATCACCAAACAAATCACGGAGATACAGACGCAAGGAAAATACACAGGACCAAGCAGCAGATGCTCTATGAGCTGGTTGCTCCTCTAAAGTCACCCAACCACTAAAGCTCCCTTGTGATGAACAGAGGGGATGCAGGAGGTCCATCTCTGTGGTGTGGCTGGCACATCCAAGGACTGGGAAGGGGCTGGTAGAAAGGTGGGTAAAGGGAGAGCCCTGACGCACCTTGCACTGTCTGTTTGATGGGTCGTGGTGGCTCTGAGGCAGTGAAACAAAGCCTTCGAGAAAGTTTGGGTGCCACGCTGTGGAGAAGGTGGAAATCTTCAACGTAAAGCACATGCTCAACAGTGGGCTCTGAAGCTATCTTGTTCAGTTCATTCTTGTCAGCATCCTTAATTCCTAGAAGAGGAAAGAAGGACATCAATGTCAAGAGCAATGTGGGAGCAATGTGCTGGGCTTTGAGTTTTACATCAGCTTTGCAGTCATGTGAAGGATGGTCAAGTCATGGTGAAACATGAAACAAGGAATGGAGACTCAAGCTGGATGGGCAGTGGTGAAGTACATGAAGCCATTGCGGAAAAGAGGTCAAGGTTTTCACCAGAGGCATTGGAGAAAAGAGATTAACCCAGAGGATTTGGCTGCTAATGGGTCAAGGAAAGCTCTCTTGGGTTGGAGAGTGAAAAGGAGCAGGGCAGGATCTGGCCTCATCCTTCCCATTGGATACAGAAATATTTCTGCCCTTCTGATGGATGAGCAGGCAATGGGGCTTTGGGAGTCTATGTGAAAATTGCAGGATTGGGGTAACAACCCCAACAAACCAACCCTCTCTAATTTTCACCTCACATTTGCCTAAACTGGCTTTGTTGCTCTCTACAGTGAAACACCATCACCATCCTTTTCTTCTGCCCTGAAACATTTGGTGAAGTGAAGGATTAGACTTGTAACAAATGGCTGTATTTAGCTCTTGGGGGCAGGGAGGTGCTGAAAGTTTTCCTTGCCCATGGAATTATTCTGATGGACGTTTTTAATGCAGCTGAAGTTGGTCTCTGAACTCCATTAAGAGAAAGCTTCAAAAGTGAAAACGTTTCATTTTTTGAAAATGTCACATCAAAACATTTTGACTTTTATGGAACTATTTATTGAACTCGTCCTGAATTCACTAGCAGTTTTGACAGATGCAAAACCGCAGATTTCCACTGAATAAATCAGCTATCGACAACAACAAAAAAATACCCAAGCACAGCACAGATGTGATTTTCCTATACTAGCAATAGTTGCTAGTGGCTGAGCCTGGGGATGGGTGCAGATTTTAGAGGAGGGAGTTGTGCATCAGGAATCTTCCCCAGTGCATAGGTTGTGTGTTAGTGCACTCAGTATTTGTTGGTGATGCTCTATGTAACTTAAAGTGTTCATACGTACCTACAGCAAACACTGTCACCCCCCCGTCCTGCAGGACCCGGGCTTCATCTTCAACTGAGTCGCTGGATTTCCCATCCGTGATCAAAACAACCACCTACAAGGATTGGCATAAGAGCCAGGGAATGAAAGAGCACAACATGAGGACACGACAGAGACATTTGTAGGATTTCCACACTGACAAGTTAGACCTTAGATGAAGTCTACCTCTCTGAAGGGATGGGCACTTGAAAATAAATCCTTTTATAACCCATCCCTCTGGGGTAACACATGAGATCAGCTTTCATGAGCATGACCTGGGAAGGAAGCAGAGCATAAAAGCTGCTCTTCATGTCAGCATCTTCTCTGCATGTCTCCTCCTGCCTGGCTGTGTTTCAACTCTGTAACTCTGAGTCCAGAATGAGATTAATGGCAGCACAGAGAGAGGATTCATCCCTACAAGTCCAGAAGGGCAGCTCTTAAAGGAAGACTCAGCTGCACCCTGGACAATAACACTTGGCCACTGGCACCTGGATGGTGCTATTGAGTGGTGAGAAACTATCTTAGCCACAGCCTGGGTTTAAATGAAAGCAAATGCAACAATATCAGACCTTTCAAGCTTTTTGGGCAGTCCTATGTCAGATCATGTAGCAGGAGATATGGCTGGTGCATGACATGATATAATGAAGACAGACCCTGCTGCAACACCTTTAAGGAGGCCCTTGAGGTGGTTAACACACCCCACCTGTGTCATCATTGTCTCTCTCCTGCACTGTGACCCAAAACAGGTCTCATTGACCACATTGGTCACACCATGTTGATAGTGTGGATCACATAGACTGCCACTCTCTGCAACCAGAGCGGATGGGTGCAGGCTGTTAGCAACAGCACCAACGTCACAACTTGTCTCCTTGTCCTTACCATGTCCTGAGCTTGCTCAGTTAGCTTATGCAGTCAGTACCCCAAATTTGGGTACACAGGTGGAGGCATTTAAGACCAGAATGCTGGGTCTCTCTGCAATCCATGGGGAAACATGAACATTGGAGTCCCCATCCCTGGAGGTGTTAAAAAATGTGTAAATGTGGCTTTTTAGGACATGGTTTAGTGGGCATGGTGGTGTTGGGTTGACAGTTGAACTTGATGGTCTTAGAGGCCTTTTCCAACCTTAATGATTCTATGATTTTTAAAAAGTGAGTCAGTCCTTTGAAAAGCTGGAGGTGCCTGCCTCCTTCTATCACCAATAAAGTGACCTGAAGCTGAATGAGCTTCTAAATGTGGTTCCTCAACTCCAAGCTAAAAATCAGATGGAATAAATAAAAACCAAATGGTTCATTCATGCCTTTAGGTGAAGAAGTTACGGACCGGATCCCTACCGAGGATGACACCAGGGAAGTCAGCACAGAAGGTCACTTACCTTTGCTGCATCCTCTCGCAGCGTGTCCAGGCGAGACATGGCATGAGCGGCAAACGCCAGGGCTGATCCTGTTTTTAAGCTGCCTCCTTTGAGGGAGAGATCCTGAACTGCCACCAGCATTTCTTCGATGGTCACATAATCCGTGAGCTCAATACTCATGCTAAGAATGAGAAATGGGGGAAGATGGGTGGATAAGGAGCAAAACACTGCTGTTACAGCAAGGATGCTTTGATAATAGTAATGACCAGCAATAATTTTGTCATCTAGCTGGTCACAGTAGGTTTATATCTAGGCAAGGAGTCCTCTTCACATTGGTCAAGAAAGTCCAGGGTCTGAGTCCCAGAGCCCTGTTACCATAAAACACTATCTAAAACTGGATGGCAGGGAATTTCTTGTGGCTGTATTAAACACCAGCCTCCTGGCCTCAAAAGAGTTCCCCAGGGCTGAGCACCCCGAGGCTCCGGTGACACTGCTGGGGGTTGAACTCTTTCTCTGCTCTTGTAATGGGTCAGCAGAGCAGCAAGAGCTCTTTAACCATGGGGACATGGTTGCCCATCTAGAAACACAGGGCCATAGAAAACCCAGGTACTGGTGGTAGAGGATAGACTGACTCACCTTGGTTTCTCCTCGTAGAGTGCCACTGCCAGCCGGATGCCTCCTTTGCCCATCACCATGTTCTCAAAGGAACGGGCCATGCTGCTGATGAAGTCCTTGACCAGCCAGGAGCTCTCCCTTCCTGTGGCCTGTGACTGCCCCACGAGGAACAAGACATCGGCCACCTCTGCCGTCCTGCAGGCTGAGGGAGAAGAGGGGCAGGAAAGTTCATCCCACAGCATGCAATGAGCCAGCCAGAAGACAAACCCTTCTGAGATATGTGAACCCCCAAGATACTGTAGCTAAGGAATACTGCTTATTCCCAATGAAGTAGATAAGCATGAGCTTTCCAGAGCAACAGGCTGCTTTGCTCTCTTTAATTTCCTCTTAATTCCCCATTTTGATGTTCTCACCCAGAGGAAGTTTCCCATTTGAAGCACAAACATTGAGATTCAGATCCATCAAGGCATGCAGGTCTGTAGGGCACACTGGAAGTAAGGGGATGCTTGGAGGTTTCATATGCCCAGAGACAGACATTAACACCCAAGCCAAGTGCAACTAAAATTTGGGAACGTGGCAGCTCTGTCACCCCATCAGTCATCGTGGGCTTCTTGCATCAAGGTCTCCAGAGCCAATGTGAGACACCCATGCAGACATGGGGCCACCAGGCCACCCATGTTTTGCCAGCCCGAAAAGTACCAAGTCTTCCAAGGAGGGAGTTGGGATGCTCCGTGCATTCAGCTCTGCAACGCTGCCCTCTTGCCAAGCTGCCAGTGGCTCCGAGCATGAAAAGTATCTTGTGTGAAAAATGAACAATTTGAGCCTTTTTTCTGCGCAAGCCAGAGCTATCTGATGACAGCTGGCAGGGAAGGGACAGGTGTACAGGGAAATTTGCTTAACGAACATCAAGGCATATTTCCCTTTACAGTGTTCAGACTCAATTTAATCTAATTTTCTTTAGGCATCCAATAAATACCTTTCACGGACAGAAATCTGATGACTTTTAGGGATGTTGAAATTAATGAAGGCTCTACGAGAGATTTTCAAAATTCGTATTTTCTTTGGTGTTTCTCTCCCTTGCAAATAGATGCTGAGCTATTACTGTAGGGGTGCTAAAAAGCAGACCATGCTGACTGCTGGAGGAGGGCTTTTTGTGTCTTGTTCACCAGAACTGGGCTCAACCTTTGACTTTTGTTTTGATTTTGTGTCACTCCTGCTTAGGACTTTACCCAGCCACTGCCTTGACTTTCAGCTGCAGGTCTGAAGACTCAACTTGCACCCAACCAGGCTGCAGCATTTGTTTCAGTTTGCTGGGGAGATGTGCTAGATGGGTTTCTCATGCTTCTGCTGCCAATGGAAAGCCTGTTTTAGCTCAACCTATTCAATTTACCAGACTTTTACCACATTTCCACAAGGAGGCTCACCAAAGGTCTTGGAAAGGTGTAGGTTTTGTGCTCTCCTTCATTGCTGTGTCCCTGATCAACCTTCTTTGGCCACACAGCAGGACAGAGGATAATTTGCCAGCTGTGGATGGATGGCAGTCCAAGGGTCTTTGTTACTCATGGCTTTTGGTTTCTTCATCTTTCTTTGTATCTCCTGACACTGAACTCTTAATGGTTCTGTTTACTGCAGACTGGCTTTTTATTGGTTTTACTCATACCCAGTTGGGAATATAAAGCACTTTCCCTTGACAAAAATGTGAGACATTTATTTCAGTTTTCCTTCCCAGGGCTCTCTGTTGGAATCTCCCTGCCCTTCTCAATCCTCCATAAGTGCTTTTCAGGTGAGATGTCAGGGGTGTCTTGGATGCAGCTCAGCTGCTAACAGCAGATCACCATAAACTCTTTTCCCAGCTGCTGCTTCTGTTTTGGATCTACCCCTCTTCCCTAGCTTTGACCTTGATGCCTCAGAAGGATTTGGAGGGAAGGCAATGCCTTGGCTCCGACCTCAGAACTGGTGGAAACTGTTCAACAGCTTCCCACGGTAACCAAAACCTCTATTACCACAAGAAAATCCCAACAAAGATTTAAGAAGATGTAGAAGATCATCCACCAGCCCTCTCAAAATCACACACCTCTTGGAGAGCTACTCAAGGCAGGGCAGACAGATTTTCTTTGGAGACCTGCACTTTTGGCCCTGATCTGGAAAACACACTCAAAATGCCATTGGTATCACAGGGATCTTTCCTAGCTACCTCTTCACATCCCAAATCCCCAGAGAGCCTCCTCCATCCATGTCTGGCCTCTGGGAGCCTTTCTCACCCTGCAGAAACACAGAATCACACAGAATGTTAGGAGTTGG